TGATCTTGTAATCTGAGAAATAATTTTTGTATGTTATTTTGATATTCTAAAATTAATATTGCTCAGCTTTACATGTTAGAATATGGTAGTTGACTTTGTGCAGTTGGTAATGTTCAACCCAACTCCAACCCCAACGTAACTCTGATCCGATGGAAACAGGCAAGGCAACATAACTCTAACCCGACTCTGACCCGATTTGGACCCTCGATGGAAACGTAGTCTGTGACTTTCGGTTTGCAGTGCTGAAGTACCGTTCACATATGGTCCTCTTATCGTGTTGGCAGTCCTGCACTGCCTCTATATCCATCTAATAGACAATTTCACGACCATCTTGCTTCCCGCTGCTCAATTGCTGACTCCTTGAAGTTATCAATGCTGCCGTATGTCGCACCACGCTTATGTTTTAGCAATCTTTCACTAATGCGATTTTCGTCGTGTTGTCATTTTTGTGTAGTCTCTTATTGGCGCACAGCCGTCTATGTTGCCGGTGTTCTGTGACTCAATGTGGTTGGCAGTACTTATGTGGCGATTACATCTGGTGCGCCAATTACGTTGGCAGTCTGTCACTGTAGCGTTTTGCATACTGTTGGCATGACTGCAGTGATGCTTGTTGACCATCTTGGTTCCACGTGCATTCGGGTTCACTGCGGTTGGCAGTATTCAATACCTTTACTCGTTGAGGTTCGCACTGCTGAAGCGTGGCTTACTGCGCTCAACCATCTATGTCGACGTTCCTCTGTGACTGATTGTGATTAGGTTGGCAGTCTTATATCCATTCATGTTTTCAGATTGGCACTTCTGCTGGCTCATCGCTTTCGTTTCACTTCTCAGGTTGGCACTGCTAACGCCCGCCTACTTCACAGTGGTCGGTACGGTTGGCTATTCTGAGTTCTTATTTTCATGTTGGCTGCTCTGTTATACTTCTGGTTACCGGGTCATCACATCTTATGATTCATGCTCTATGCTTATACTAGGGATTTTCTGATTCCAAAGTGCATGTTGCCTTACCTTACCATGCATAGCACTTGGATGTTCGATAACATGATCAACTGGTAAAAGTAAATAGTATTGTGTACATTTTAAATCGGTAAGTCTATTCGATTATAATTTTCTTTTTAATATTACTTCGTTACAGATAAAAATGAATACCAAGAGGAAAATCACACCGTTATCGGATAAAAGTATAGGATATCGACGCAGTTCTTTACAGGTTAACTTGAGTTGTGTTTCTAACCTAACAGATTCTGGTAACGAATCGTTTAATGACAGTGCTTCTGCAAACAAGGCTAAGTACATCGGAGATTTACGTAGCAATTCTAACGAGATGCGATCTCGTGTACCTCTCAGAAATCCAAGCGTGCTTCTAGAGAGAATAAATCGTGACGATGCGATGTTACATAAATCCTGCAAACAGTTAAGAACTGCCATATTAATGAAGACTAAACAAATGTTTCACGAACGAAGCGAATTGTCCGTTAAGACGTCCAATATACTGAACGATAGAGGAGTACAGGGTAGGTATAGGAAAAGACGTTTGTTTGTTTCTACCAAGGAATCGACTAATAACCATGTTCCAACCGATGAATATCCAAATAATAAGAATGTATCATCGAATACATTGAACAAGTTGGTTATGTCCGGTGGAACGCGAACTTGTGCAACTGATAATTTTAATAGATTTAAGGATGAATCTATTTCTAATAGTTCCATACACGAAGATACATTTACGGCAACACCGATCGCTTGTTCCACGATGATAAACGAGAACAATGACGTATCATGTGCAGAAGGGGATGCACAGTTTCCCGTTCTAAACAGTTCATCTTCGGTTTCGAAAATGCATACAAAACCGAGTATAACATCCATGGAAGTAACGAACGTTTGCGAGGGATTCATATTGTGCGATAAAACGACATCGTCCCTGAAACGCGTAAAGAAAGGTACTTCGCTGGTTGAAGAGCGGAACGACGAGAAATTCCAACGTCTGGTATCCGACAATGAAACTGAGAGCACGAATACGGAAAAAACTTCGTTGAATGTAAACACTTCTGTAGACTCCGTTAGTAAACCCAAGGATAACGAACATAACGAAAGGGACAGTACCAATACCGTGCGTACTTCTTTGCGAATGAATACGTCATTGAATATTTCGCGAACGATGCAAGAAAATATTCATGGAAATAAATCATCGATAGACTCAAAAAATGGTACGAGCAACGTTACAGGGTCCGACAACTATTTTCACCATGAAAATATCGAAGAGAAGAGAAAACTCGGTACCAACGAACAAAGTCGTATTGAAGCTACTCCCTATCCTATGTATCGTTCCGTTATGTTGAGATCGCAATTGAAACAAAATGCTCGATCGCGTTCCTCTAGATATCAAGACGAATCAACAAAGGATTCGAATGTTGAAAATGTCAAAAAACCATGCAAGAAGAGACTGATGCCTCTCAACGAACATTCTCAAATATCGCTTTCTCCTGCAGAAAAACATCATTCGCCTCCTCGATACTTACCGTTCAGAAGAAAACTTATCCATAGGAAGAGTAACGGTAAGATTACTAAAAACGAACAAAATGAAGGAAAAACTCGTAACAAGAAGAAAGGGAAAAATGTTAAGAAAATCGTTGTTAAGAAGATCGTTGATCAAGAAATTTTAAACAATTTGCAAGAAAATACAGAAAATCTTGATAAGTCGCCAGTAGATACGCAACGTTCGAATAGAAATTCGTTCAACGATTTTCGCTCTTTCGAAGGTTCCTCCGCTACTAAACGGTATAAATCAAAGAAGAAAAGAACGCTTAGGATAAGTATCGTTACGACCGGTTTATCTAACGAGTAAGGATAATTTTATTCGTACCAAATAACCATTGCATGTAGATACTTTATAAATTACTTTCCAGCGACAAAAGCATCGTCAGAAGCGTCGTTAAAGCTCTTGGTTGTGCCACAATCGAAACGAACGTCACCAAACGTACCACGCATGTCGTGACCACGGGTGTGCGTACCATCAATTTGTTGCATGCGATTATACGTGGCTGTTGGATCGTTGGCCTCGAATGGGTTTTAAAGTCTTTAGAAAACGATGCATGGTTGAATCCTCAACAGTACGAAATGAAACACTTTTCGAACGCGGTGCTGGTAATTACCTCGTAATTTCAAATTAATGATATCTATCGATAAAATATTATTAAGTATGTCGTGGTTTCTAGGAAAATCGCAAAGACAGACAACTATTCGGATCCTCTTATGTTCCGGAATTATTCGCAGCTTGCGGATATATACATATAGAAAACAATACGACGCCTCCTTGCGATGTATTGAAAGATCTCGTCAAAACTGCGGGTGGATGTATCACTGAAAATCCACAAATAGCAAAAGTCGTAATCGGTAGAGAAGGTTTGAAAGAGACTTGGGTCTTTGATTGTATAACGTCAGGTGAATTACAACCGTATGATCACTATGTACGTAGTTAAGTTTTAAACTTATCCAACGACAAATATTTTACACCGTAAAATCATGTTTAATGTATATTAGTTTTGTACATAAATTTTCTGTTAAAACTTGCGATTACATAAAATTGTAATTCACTGAGTGAAAAAAAAAAAGTAAATTATATATAAAGTATTTTTAAATCAATTGTATTTAATGGAAATAAATTTTACATCTTGCTAAGAGTGTTGTTGTGCTTATCGTAATCCTACAATAATAGAGAATATATATATATATTTTTTTTTTAAGTATGTCGTATATAAATTTCCTTTACTCTTCAAAAAAAAAGTCCTCGAAAAAGAACGATACGTCATTGATAAGAAAAATCAACGTTCTTGTACGAATAACGAAACTTACGTAATACTTTTTAAATATTTTTCAAGTATTTATAAAATTTCTCAAAATTACCTACGTAATAATAGAGGTTCTCGTTAGCGATGATAGATCATTTCGTTACGAGTCTACATCTGATATTCTTATCGGATACTTTGATCGCGTTAAGGTTACGTTGCATTGACACGTAAATTTATAACGACACTCGTGTATAATGTGTCAAGTTGACGCATGTTTGTTGACATGTGTCTTTCTATCTATTATTTAATGCTACATTGATTTAAACGTCTCAGGGAACATGGGCTACGTACATTTTCGGTAAGCGATCAAAATCTTTTTCAATTTTACCGTTATTCCTTTGTTGCGACGCTAATACATCTTTAATAACATCGTTCGATCGTCTTTGCAACGCGTCGAACACAACTTGTACAAGGTTTCCTCGATCTTTTCTTATTTCTTTGTTATGAAGACAATGTAGGTACTTGTGCGCCTACTTTTTCTACGACTCGCGATTATTTTGCAAAGAAATTACGTTATTTTCATTTTTCAGCTCGAATCTACGCGAAACACCATCCACAGAAACGTGTATTCCGATACCGAGGAATAACAGAACGATAATAACCGATGTTTATGCAGGGATTCCTGAAAATTTGTTATTGAATTTTCTTGGGTTTTTGGTAAGATTCTCGATCCATTTCTTACGCCTACAAATTATTGCTATTATTATTATTATTGTATTTTTTCAACTGGAAAGTCTATATATATATATATATATGTGTGTGTGTGTGTGTGTGTGTGTGTGTGTGTTTTCTTATCAATTTAATGATACCTTTTGCAGTTCCTGGTTATTTTGTTCGGTTTATTACGTAAGAAAGCATGGAATTATGGACGTCTTGCGCTGCTCAATAAGACGGATGAACGATGGATGGAATTATTTTACGGAGTCAATGAGAATAGAGATACGGACGCTATATGTGTAGAGACCTCTGTTAATTCGCAACTTTCGCAAGTGGACAGAGGCTTTTTATCTTGGATTGTCACGGCATTCAAAGTAACGTAAGCAACTTTAATGTCAAATTAATTTTTATTTCATCCTTTTTTATTGACAATTTTACTAAATTTACCAAACTATCGTGATTTTTTTTTTTTAGAGACGAGGAATTGTTGAAACGCGTTGGACCGGATGGCTTACTGTACATATCTTTTCAACGCCATTTAATCATTTTGATGATCTTAATGGTTATCGTATCGTTAGGCATAGCGTTACCAGTTAATTTTCATGGAAATATGCAAGGCGACGAAGCAACCTTTGGTCATACCACTCTGTCCAATTTAGATCCGATGTCTACGTGGATTTGGGTGCATACGATATTGATCTTGTCGTATTTGCCGGTCGGTGCTTATGTTATGAGACATTTCTTCAAAAAGGTATGTTTCGTTGACTGCACAAATGACGTGTACGCGTTGTGCAAAATGTGTAAATGTTAACGAAATGACGAAAGGTGTGCACGCTGTACAGGTACAAGATTCCAAGCATGGCGGTGAATTAGCGGCTAGAACGTTATTAATTACGGAAATACCGAAGCATCAGTGCAACGCCGACGCTCTTGCAGAATATTTGAAGTGGGTACACCGCGATTATCCGGTTCTTCGTTTACGCGTCAAATTTTCACCTTGATCTAATGTCGAGTTGCTACTTGCAGAGAAACGTTTCCTACCTTGTCGGTAGAAGATGTTACGTTGGCTTACGATATTAGACGGCTTTCGGCGTTAGACGAAGAAAGAGATTGCGCCGAACAAGCCCGTTTATATTGCGAAAATTATGCTAGAAAACGAGAACCGTTAAAGATGTATCCGTATCCGTGTGGTCAAGTAATAGGTTGTTGTTGTAAAAACGTACGTAATTCTTTTTCAAAATATTCTTTGAATATCAAACTATTTTGCTTTTTTCCCCTCCTTCTAGCAAGTTGATGCTCAAGAATTTTATACGGACGAAGAAATGCGATTGACCGCCTTGGTCGAAGAGGAAAAGAAAGTAGCGTTGAGTAAACCTCTTGGAATAGCTTTTGTAACTTTAGGTCAGTCACTGTTTCGTTTCGCCGTTCTTTTTTTTTTTTTTTTTTTTTTTTTTTGGTTTTCTCACGGTTCGATATTTGCGTGCTGGCCGGAAAATACCGCAATGCGTCCGATAACAGAGTTGAAATATCGCCTGGAGACGACTTTCCTCGAAATCGGGGAACAACCGTTTGATCGAGAATCGTTGAGGACGATCACGGTGAACCGATCCTCGCGTGTTTGTCCATTCCGAATTGTTTTCAAGGGGTGAGTTTTACGCACGAACGCGTCTTGCGTTTCCGATTTAAATGCCGTTCCGTGTACAAATTTGCGTGTCCTATCGTTGGGACAACTAGGGCTATCGATAGACACTCCCGTTTAGAGTGCAACATACTGGGTATTTTTTAGTTGATACAAAAAGAAATAAGAGGGTGATGTCGAATCATCACTGTTTCGTTTCGCCGTTTTTTTTTTTTTTTTTTTTTTTGACGTATAATGCACGGTGTGTATTATACGTGTACTTGTGACACGTTCAATTTCATGTGCACCTATGATCGATTATGATCACTAACGACAACGATAATAACGATAGTAATAAATGACAAGGTACCCCCGGTGCTGCTATAGCTATGCGGAAGCAGTTGCGTTTGTTGCCTAGTATAAAGTGGGTTGTAGATTACGCACCTATACCGTCCGATATTTTCTGGGAGAATTTAAGTATACCAAGATCATGTTGGTATTTAAATGCTGTGTTGATCAACTTTGCATTGGGTATCATGCTATTTTTCCTCACTACACCGGCTGTAAGTACGCTACTTAGTATACACGGTGTAATATCGCGTAACGTAACGAACTTATTTTCGACGTCTCAATGGAACTGTATGGGATTACGTATACGATACTTTTATTTCAGGTAATAGTGCCTGCTTTGAATAAATTACCAATCGCCGGAGACATTATGAATCTTAGTCCCGTAGTTTCGTCCTTTCTTCCGACCGTATTACTAGTCAGCGTGGCTGCTTTGATGCCTGTATTAGTAGCCAGAAGCGAATCGTTGGTTAGACATTGGACTAGGAGTAGTCTAAATCGAGCAGTAATGACGAAAACGCTGCTTCTTTTGTTATTAATGGTCCTCATACTACCGAGTCTGGGTTTAACCAGCGCTAAAGCATTTTTAGATTGGACTGCGAACGCGACGAACGATACCGGAAGATGGGCCTGTGTGTTTTTACCCGATCAGGTACGATAACGTTATGAACAATGAATTAAGAATAAAACATCCTTTCTTATTTTTGCAGGGTGCTATATTCGTAAACTACGTAATTACCGCATCTTTGCTCGGAACTGGATTGGAATTGGTCAGATTTCCTGAACTAGCGTTATATACCTTCAGATTATGCATAGCTCGAAGCAGAGCGGAAAGAATACACGTCAGAAAGGCGGTATTATGGGAATTTCCTTTGGGTGCTCATTACGCTTGGTTACTTCTAGTTTTTACTATGGCAACGGTTTATAGTTTACCTTGTCCGTTAATTACACCTTTTGCGCTGCTATATCTCGTGGTGAAACATTTGGTACGTTATCGATGTTAAAACGGTTTAATAACGCGATAACGCGTTTACATTCTTATCGAGCTCATATTTTATATATTTTACATAGGTGGACAGGCACAATTTATGCTTCGCTTATGGACCAAGCGTTGGCGGTGGTCAGTTAGCCGGTGCCGCGGCGAGTGCTACCGGTGCTGCCCCAATTTTGGCACAAGCTGCGCTCTTAGCTTTAGGTTTAGTAAGAAGAGGATTATCGCCTCTGGCTGCGGTACAACTCAGCGGTCTTGCCGCGAGTATTCTAGGACTCGTCACCGGTGCTACTTTACCCGCGTCGAAGTCTAAGGTATACCAATTGTTTTTCGAACGTAAGTTCGTCATCGAAATAAACGAGAAACGAATTATCGTAGACTCAAGTTTTGAAGAGAGACTTGTCGACTGGTCAAAATTTTGTTGCTCCTGTATTAAGGAAGAAAGTAATATCGTTGGAAGAAACTGTATCTACAACCTCCGATTCTGATCTTCGTTTAACCAGTTTAAGAAGTACTACCGCTTCTTCGATGCAAGAAAGTCCGAAGCTTTATCAGGATTACGGGAAAGAATCGCAAGCGTAATCGTTTTTTCGATTAGGTACGTGATGCGCTATTATAATTTCGTGTAAATATACCTTTCCATGCATACTAATGAAACGTCGTATATATCTGTTACATCGTACATGCAAGTACGACGATAACGACTCTTTATACTTGAAAATTAATTTATTTGTAATTAATTAACATTTAATATTCCGATTAGTAAGTATGAAAATATAAAAAAAGTTGAGTAACTTACCGTTTACGAGAATACGAGAGAAATTCTTGAGATTAAATATAGACTCGTGCAACCGGTGTAGCTATTCGTTGTTAATGGAAAGAAATAACAAGAAACGCGTATAAATCATTATTTGTTTAATAGCATGACAACAACAATAAATGATACGAGCAACGATGATTAATTATAAGTGCCGATGCGTTTTCATTTAACCCAACATTTTCTTTCCTTATTTTGCGCCGAACGAAAAAGATTTATGTCTCGCGATTAAAGAGACTTCTTTCTATCGTATTTACAATTCTCGAATTCTCGATGTATGTTGAAAAAAATAAGTTTGTGGTAACCTAATAATTATTATTTTTTATTGAAAAAGGAAAAAATTCTATTCGATATTAATTATATGTTGGTCGATAAAAATATACTTTTAATCGATACCTTAATAGTAAATACTCTTAAAAATAAGTATTAATAATAAATACTTTTAAACTTTCGAAAATTTCCAAGGCAGTGTGACAATGTTTACTATATCTTTCAAAAATACAATTATTTCGTAAATCGACGATGATAATGATAATGATCGTAGTAATTTAACGATAAAATTAACTATACAATGAATAAAATTTTCGATGTAAAAAAAAAAAATAATATAAATTACGCGTAAGTAAATATCGAGCCTTTGAAAGTTGATTCGTATAAGCATTAAAGGACAAGGCACTAAATTCGTATAATTTTAACTTAAATATTTCCATCTATATTTATAAAAATGAAATAAATAACTTGTACGTGTATATAATATGCGCGTACTTCGTTTCGATATCGATTTATTTGTAGATAATCGAAAGTATTCCATGTCAATCCGATTAGATAAATAACGGCGACATGTGATTTTTGACGATATCTAGAAGTTGTTTCATGTAACATTACCAAAAGTCATGCATACGAGATATACGTGTAAACGAATAGACATACAATTAGGTATTTTTCGATAGTTATCCCTTCGAAAAGTACGCACGCGATACCAAAAAATAAGAAACGCGAGAAATGATTTTTAAACGCGATTATATTCGTATAAAATACACGGTTGAATTGTTAAAAACATAATATATACAGATTACATCGTGTATAATATATATATATATATATATATATATATATATATATATATTGTATAGGGGTACACAATAATTTCGTTACGTTTGAAACAAACTTTATTCTCTCGACGATAAAGTTGGAATTTATTAAAATTCGTTATTCAACTGATCCCTTTGACATGGAATGAACAATATAACGTGTATAGTTACAAATACTGTTATCCGATGTTCGTCGAGTATCTTCCCTGTGTGTCATTGAACAACTGAAATAATTTACTGATCGTGTGAAAATTCGAAGCTACGTACGTTAAAGTATGTTTTATTATTCAAGCTTAATCAATGAAAGTTCATTCGAATAGACTGCCACCGATTATGGCCTCAAGCTGACTAGATGTAAGATTATTTAATTGCTCTACCACTTGATTTTCTTTCTTCAACCTCAGAGATAATCGGTGTAACGTTTTTCTCTTTATACTTTTTGAACTACTATATTCGCACAGCTCAAAATTATCAGACTGCGTTGCTTCTTCTTCGTCCTCTTTTTGAGATTCTTCGCTTTCTTCGCTGCTCGGATGAACCTACAAAACGTACCGTTACTTTAGATGCTATTTCATCGAATTTCAAACGGCGGCGCGTTTACTATACACGATACGTGACAAAGAAGCAAATGTACATAATCCTTTAACTACCTTTTACGAAAATATTCAATGTTCGATCGATATTCGAGAAGCACGATGCTCTGCACAAATTCACGACCGAGCTTAACGCTTAAAACCAAATTTTCACTTGTAACTTTAATTTCACGATAAATTAAAGATACAAATTGTTTGAAATTGTACGATTGAAAAACGATAATTGAATTATTCGGTAACTACAAATTATTACCCAATCGCGTGATAATTTTATTCAATGAATATATTATGAATCTGAAGTCCAAAGAGATAATATCAAAAATATACACTCACTTGAACACATAAACTTAAACAGAACATGTTTGTTTGTTACTACTTCTCACTACTGCCAATGTTCAGGGAGAGGATGCTGGGAACAATGAAAAATAATTAAAAAAAAAAAAAAAAGAAAAAAAAATTAGCTGTCATTTATCTTGTTCTTTCTTTTTAGAAATATTGTAAATATTGCAAATGCTGCATCTACGATGATACGTAATTTTTATGATGACGCTACAAGTACATATTTTTACGACGAATATCGATATGTTGTAACGTTTTTATTATATGGATAGACGCATAAAATAGGCGTTGAACGGTATCGAAGAAAATTTTTTAAAAACACAGTACCGTTCAAACTTGGTTGGTATGTAAAAATATAATATACGCGTAACGTATTTGCATGCTTTTGTGTGTTTTGTATAAATGTGACATTATATCTAATTGAAATTTATTAAATTTATAAATGTGATCTTAACGCGAAGAAATACGTGTACACGTATTTTGTTATATTAGAATATCGAAAAAAAATATAAATTTTTATACGCAACTTGGAGGAATTAATTGTTCGTCTCCATCGATGATTCCAGTTAATTAAAAGATGTATACCGTAAGTTTTAAGTACATTCAATTTCTACGTAAAAGTTTCTTTCCATGCTCACCACCACCACACCACCGCGATGCATTCTATTTTCATTACCCTTTACTTTTTTCTACTCATTGTTACGTAAAAATAAACTGAATAACGATATACGTAAAACGAAAAAAGTAATCGATGCTTATAATTAAAAATAAATTAAAAAGAAGTTTTGAGATACCCATGGTATGTCGGACTCTACGTTATACTCGTTTTATCTAACGATTTGCAACGATGATCATACTTGTAACGCTATAAAACTTCATTTTACCTCTACTATGGAAACTCTTGGCGATGGTTCACGTGGCATTGATTTTTCGGCCGTTATTAGTGGACTATTGGAATCCGTAGAAGAATATTCTTTATCCGTTTCGATATCGTTGTCCGAATAATCTTTCTCATCCTCGATAGCCGATCTCTGAATGTCCATGTTTTCGTGGAGTTTACAAATAAAACCACCCTTTTCACCGTATTCGAATAGACGTCCATCTAGATGCACTATCGATGTAACGTAAATATCGATGTCACCGCATGAACGGTCTGTACATTTTTTTAAAATAATATTAATTACCTTGGCAAAATGCAGCGCTACAAAACGAACAATGAGCAGATGTTCTACGACCACACTCTCTACAATGATGCCAAGGACAACTGAATCTCGAATCTGTGTCGTCGATGTTAACGCAAATTTTATGATATTTCTTGTTACACGTTTTTTGATCGCAAATCACGGAATCTTCCGATTTTTCGATATCTTGTCCGCAACACCAGCATGGTACATGTTTTCTTGATCTAATAACACGTGATCGAAATTAACGATAATTACATTTTATTTCGCATGCTTCTACTTACCTCTTCTGACGCTTCATTTTGTCAAATTTCTCGAGTTTTTTTTGTTGAATCGACGGTGTTGTTGCCTGCGGCTTTTGAACCTTTAAACCTATAAATCCGCTACAATTCGGCGCACCGCACAAGCAAGGTTTCCGTGTTTCGCCGTCGCAAGCTAAATTATAATTGAAAGTTAATTCTTCACCGGGTTCGATATCGCATAACGCGAACAGACCTATACGCGTATCTCCGTTTACTGTCCATTTTTGTGTCTCGCAATTCGGCGAACACGAATGATCTGTTGAATTTCAAAAACAATCTATTTATTAAAAGTAAAGTAATCAAGCTATTTATTAAAAGTAAAATACTAACTCATGAATCGACTTAAATTCCCTTTTGGTTCGGCATCGATCATTCTATTATTATCTATGGTTAAAAAATAAAAGTTCTCATTCTTTAGTTCCTTCTTCCTATGTAATCTTCGTTTGTATTCGGCTTCGTCTATAACTTCACCTACATATTCGATAACGAACTGTCCCGCTTTAATAAATTCTAAACTTCTAAGACCCCAACCTCGAGCTACCGTATGAAATGGTTCCATAGCCGGATATTGTCTTCGCACGAACGCTTGATTATTGCATTTAGGGCCGGCTGGACAAATACCGGGACTACATTCGACTAACAATATCCGATTCAGACAATCTGTTCCCGGTGCACACGGATTATTCCATTCTGCGTCGCAATCACAAGCGACGATACTTTCGACTTCTGCTGGTTTTACATTGCCAACCGGTTTATTCACCTACAAGTCGATACAAATTTATATTCGATGTATATATGACACGCATGTATTAAGATTAATCGATATTAAGTATACTTTTAACTTAACGTAAGGCGGAGGTTTTAATCCTCGTGGTCCATGATCTTTGGCAGCGGCTCTTTCGATTTTCAACCGTTGATGAACTTCGTTGGCTTCCTCTAGAGCTTTACGATAAGTATCGTCTCTATTGTTTTTTTTCCCGATCGATGGTTTTATAGTCGCATCACCATCTTGGTAAAGAAAAGCACGACCTCTGAAAATAAATATCCATCTATTAGAATGAACTTATTCGTTATAAGAGAATAATTATTGACTTACCTATGAATCCAATAATAATTATTTGATCCCAAAAACATTACACAAAATTTACCAGGACTATGGGGAAGCGCTTCTATATTTTCAGGAATTTCGTGAGGATAACAAATACGGGATGGCCACCAGCGGTAATTGCCAAGTTTTACCCATACTACTTCTCCGTACAAAGGTAATCTACCTGTTTCGCAATCTTCGCAAATAAACGCACCGTCTGGTGCATCGATACCTGCAATTATTCGTATTATTATAGTCGTTGCTGTTGTTGCCTAACGAAAATAGTTACCTAAACATTCCAAATGAAACGACGTCGGACACGTGTCGCAACAGATAAGACTTCCTCCTCTGGTACATAAGAAACACCATGCAGCGTTTACCGGGGGTTGCGATGGTTGATAATGTTTTGGACAAACTATTTGACTACCGGTTAAGATTACTGAACCAGCGGGTAAACAGGACGTAGACGTGTGATAAGACGAAGGACAACGAACGCATCGCGCCAATTTTTCGTTCGAAGTTCTCGGGTGGCTATCCTGAGGATTGTCTGAACTGCATGTGTGGCACACGTGATATGGACAAGTTAAACGACCGCCTTGCCAATGAGACTAATGAAAAGTAAAAAAAGAAAAATAAATAAATAAATGAACAAATAAGTAAAAAATGTATAAATATACGTTTTCATGCAACGCGACTTCAAGGTTGTTAAAGTGTTTCTCATTACTTGTGGCCATGACTTTAAACAAGATGAATGATAATGCTTTCCACAAGCTAACACGGAACATCTTATTCTATCTCCTTCCCTTTCGTTACATATAAAACAAGCGGGAGCTACACCCGACAAACAATCGATACATTTGAATAACTCGTCTTCTTGCTCGTCGATTTTGCCTAAAATTAAAAATGACATTGACTTTTGGCTGAAGCGAATAAAATAAGAAAATGTAATGTATCGATTTCGGTACCGCTAGTCTCGTCTTCGTCGATATTATCTCCTTTAATCTCTTTTATATCGTTAAGGATTTTATCGTCCATTGTGCTTTCGTCGATGGAATGTTCTGGACTGGATTCACCTGGTTTTACGCAGGAAAGATGAAAATATGAATAACAAGGACCTTTGCATCTGGTTAACTTTCCAGTTTTCTCGCAAATTTGGCAAACTTTTTCCTGTTTCATTCCTTTAAAAAGATTATAAGGTCTACTTCTTTTCGTTTCCGAAGTACATATCTCTTCCTTTTCAGCTTTAACTCTTGATTTTTTATTATCCTTGGTTGTTATATCTATGTCTGTTAATAAATCTGCTTCATGATCCGACGAATTTTCTTTCGTGTGAGTATCATTAGCATCTGACGTTATATATGATCGGTATTTTTTACGAAAAGAAGAATTCATAGTATCCCAAGTTTTCCGTAAATACCTTTTAATATCGTGCTCCGACGCGTCTGGATATTCGTCTTCCAACATATCCCTGTTTCGTTCGTAATAAATTTCGAAAACACCGTCTACTTCTTCGGTTTTGAACTCGACCTTTTGCATAATAGAAACTTCGTCGTTGGAATCTCTTTGACTTGAGGGAGACAATGGAGGAGTGTCTGAATTAAGTCTCGAATGATTCTTATCGTTCTCTATATATTTCAATATTTTTGATTTTGTTCCATCTATTTTGTATTGCGATTTATCTAACTCGTACATCTGTAAAAAAAATTGTATCGAATATTTGTTACATCGATAGTATTATACGTTCGTAATTTTTATTAATACGACACGTTTTAATCGCACACCTACATTTTCCTCTTTAGGACGCTTAATATCGGGTTCGCTCGAATCGCTCGAGTGTTTCCTTTTGTTAATTTTATCCTTGTCGTCTAATGCTTTTACGGATCTATTTTTTGCGCTGTTTTCTTTCGGTTTAAAAATGTTGGCTCTATCTTCGTTGCTCATCGAGTGAACTTCCATAGCTTCCTCTATCGCGCTTTCCCATTTTGATTTTATACCTGGCTTTACAACGAATGCGGCAGCATATTTTGCGTCTCTTTTTTTAATTTCTATAGTTATTGATTCGGATAATTTTTTAAAATCTGCCAGATTTGTAAATGGAATCATAGAATTTGAAGAAACCCAGCTGTGACGTCCTTTATCGCCGAAATATTGAACGTGTATCATTAGCACCTGTGACCTACCGGTAGCTAAAGAAATAGATAAATACATTTTATATAAATTATATTTTATTTATTTCAAGATTATTATGCCGATAATTAACAAGGACAATGAGAAGAAAGTAAAATTGTTTCTTGATTGTGGGTCACGATAAATAAATAATACTAACGTCTACTATACTGCTTAAGTATAGTATTATAAGTATAGTATTAAGTATAGTATTTAGTATTATATTAATTTTTTGTCCTGAGAGTACTCACCTTTCAACCTGTGATATATCATTAGAACTGGATCAAGCGTTATCACGCAAGGCCAGAAAGGAAAATTACCGACTCTGGCCCATGCTAACTGACCTAATATCCAATTACACTGCACAGATGAGCTGACCAATTTTATAGTACCCTCCTCTGTTGCGTTAAAATTCGTAGAAGAATCACTTGTGTCATCCATATCGTTAATTATATTATTTTCATCCGTACTCTCGTTGCTGCTATCGGACAAATTGTGATATTTCGATGTCCTTTGCAGCTTAGAATTCTGTGAAGAATATATGTATATATATTTCAATAATGTCGCGTTACATAATGAAATGCTTGTATTAATCGTTGACAAAAATTTTATCGATACTTGTGAAAGAAATTATTATGGAGTATGTATCGTGTGAATCAATATTATGTGAAAATATTAAAGATCACTACATATAGTACCATCACGTGTTAAAAATGATATTCAACTCTAATAAAAAGAACTGTAATTGATCTTAACAGGCACAACATGCCTTTGGAAAACTGGCAACCTCATTCTTAGGAGACTTGGGTTTTATTGTTCTGCCATAACGACTTCTACCGGGCGGAGTTCTATTAGAATTAACACTTAAGTCCTTCTTATCGTTTTCAAAATCGTTGTTCCTGATGTCCAAATTTCTGTCGAATTCGTCGAATCTTGATTCAACAATTATGTCCACCTTGCTATTCACTCCGTTGATAGTGCTCATAGTTTATTAACTAATTTACCATCATCGTTTGTCAAGGACAAAAGTAATTCAATATTATTAAACTTTATACACTTTTTTAGCAATTAACACAATATCAACTGTATTATCTTTGTATAAAGGGCTCACGCATTGAAAACAATTTCCATTATCGCTGAAAATAGCCGCGATGGCCGATTTTCAAGGGTTACTTTATTTCTTAGAAAACCAATGCATACAGTTATTCAATGTATACGAATCGACACGCAATTTATGTCAACTCTTACGGGAATAAATTTAATTTTGCATAAACAATTTTCTCTATTAATATTCGAAAATTATAACTGAACCTTACGCGGGCCTGTAAGGAGAAACACGAAGCGTTTCCCGCGATTTTGGGTGATTTTCATAACCATGTTTAGCTTAGATTCATTTTTCACTATATGTAAAAAGAGCGTTCATATAGTGATTTTTGTTCTACTATTTATATTTCAAGTATAATATGCAATATATTTGAAAATTCGTGTTATGGTTGTAATAACATTCGAATAATCATTTAATCAAATATAGCCTTTAAATGTTAAGCTATATATACAACATACATAGGAATTTACTACAGAATACGAATTAAACGAGTATGTAGAATGTCTATTTACATTTTCTAATTATGTTGAAATTATTACATAAATAACATACGTACATTCATGCATACATACACACACAAACACGCGCGCGCGCGCGAAGTTTTAAAATGTTATTAAATCATTGGTGCTTAATTTACATTAGCATTTATTTACAAACATTTAATTTTTACAAAATTTAGCAATACAATGTTCTTTTGCATTGATATCATTAATTTCATAGAGCCCATTTTTTTGAGCTAAATTTTTTAATTCCTTGACAAAGGTTTGTAAATTTTCTTCTCGCGCTTCTACCAAATATTTTTTTAATTCTACCAACATAATTCCTCCCTTTTTAAGCGATTTTGCAAGATTAGGCAATTGTTCTGTCATGTTATGAGCTACCCAAATAAAGTCAAATCTGTCAACATATTCCGTTTTATATTTGAAAGCTTCCAAACATGTTGCAGGATGAAAAATCACCTAGAAACGTAATGCAAGTTTTAAAAGAGTTTATTATATCAATTAAGTTTGGTATTACATAATACCTTATGATTTTTAATATCTATCCAAGACAGATTGTTTCCTTTGTATTTATTTATTTTTTTTTTCCACAGTTCCTGCTCCATTTCATTACTTGGCATTTCAGATACTAGCGTACCATTTAATATAGAAGAATCTCTATGTGATGCAACAAGATCTTCGCAAAATGGTTCCTGTGTTCTGATTTCATGCATAGATCGCATAATTTCTAGTTCGGTTATATCGGTTGCTCTGTATTTACTATATTATTATTTTTAATATTCTATTAACTATTCTTCCTAAGACATGAAAATGTATGTACACCGAATAAATTAATAAATTATCATCTTACGTATGATGACTTTTTGTTTCCTGCAAAGACCAAGCAAAAAATGGACCATTTACTATATCTCCTAAATAAGTATAATGTATAAATCCAGGCCCATGCTGTAAAATGTTACTCAATAATGTTGGATTGCTTCTAACAAGTTCACCTTCCAACCAAGTAAATGCAATTCCATTATTTCTCCAAAATCTGGTATTAAAATAAATAAATTAAATATTTTAAAGCAATGATTTTGATAATAGAAGTTGTATAAATATGTCATAATCAACGAACATACCTATACTCTTGTATAGTTAAATTTGAAATCCCTTTAGATTTTAAAATCATATAATAGTCCCAATCGAATACACCGTCTCTGTAATCGTATCGCGTTTTCAATGCTCTTCTAACTCTTTCGTCCCAATATTTTACAACAGGAATACTTTCGCGTGTTGCATGTTCCCAAAATCTTATAAAAAAAAGGACAAAATAATCGCAAACTATGAAATGATCCTGAATCTTTAAATTCTGTAAAACTTACTTAAAAATTGATTCCAGACGATCCTTATCCTTATGTTTAAATTTTTCCAAACTTAACCAAGGGCAATCAATTGAATTTGTCGGAATATCTGCTAACTGATTAGAATGCTTCATTAAATATTTAGCAGTTCCAGGTCTTATAAGTGTATTCCCAAATATTTCCAAATAATATCGAGTTGCTTCTTGTAATCCTTTAATTTCATGATTAATTTTTTATTAACAAGATAAAAATAAAAGAATTTTTTTCGTGGTAATAACTACAATGTTTATATATGTATGTATTAAAAACCTTAAAAACTTTATATAAATACGTACCTAAATTTCTTTCTAAGAAAATACTTAATAAAAGAATGGATCTGGCCACTTGTTCCAACGTTGGTTCTATTACATGATATGTAATAATACAGTCGCTATGCAAGTAGGACGATGCTAATGTCTTCGTGATATGTCTTGCATCGTTAGCACCTACGATTAATACTTCAAGACATTTGTCTAAATAATTAATCTCGCTTTTATTAATTTCAAATTGGATATCTAACGCAGGACTGTATCCCCACCACATGTTATTTCACTGTTTTTAATATTTTATGTTAAGAAATTCTGTATTCAACTACTTTATAAATACCAAGTAATGAAATAATTACGTACTATTGTCGTCGTTGCTAAGATATCAAAATGCGTATTGTCATAGTAACGTTCATTTATGTATGTATGTATGTATGTATATATGTATATGTATGATATGCGGCGTTTTGTAATACAAATTTTAACAAACACATTAAATTTTATGATTTTACTAAAATGTATATGAATATACATGTATGTATATATATATCTTAACATAATTCAAATAAAAAAAACTTCAAGAAATAGAGAAATAATACGTGTTGTATTAAAATAAAAAGTTGTAAATTTATATAATAAAATTATAAACAAGTTAGTGACAGTCATGTCATAATCTTATAAAATCATTTATTTTACTCCTATAATATAGATTCTGTGACACAGATAAAAATAACTCCCTTTTAAACCTCGCTTATGCAAGGGTTCCTTATACACACGTTCACTGTAACTCGATGCAAACATTAGTTCATTTATCTCGTTTCTTTTGAGCTCGTTTATTGCCGCACCGTTGTAAAATATCTGTAATAGGTCCTTTATGTTGAAATATAGCGATAAGTTGCGTACGTGCTTCGTTCATTCCTTCGCTAATTAAACTACTGCGCTGCATATTTCCTTTGATTAATTCATTCACCCGTTCAAGTCCGTCATCTTGTCTATTCCTAACATTTTGTTGTGACTCAAGCATGGTCAGCGTTGTTTTTAATTTTTCATGCACCTACAAAAATACAACAGCAAATTGTAATTATATTACAACTAACAGTAATATTATTTCATAACAGCCTGTAAATTGTAAAAATCTAATCTACAAGTCCGTACTTGTTTTTCAAGATCAGCGATATCCTCCATTTGTGCAGTAAGATGATACACCTTCCAACCGTTTAGTTTCTGTAATACATGCTTTTGCTGAGCTATTTCTGCAACTGTGGGTCGTCTTTCTTCGCGAGGTCGAACTTCGCTTGGTCTTCTATAATGATGAAGTCTACTGCCCCATCGATTTTTCCAAGATGGTCCTATAAAATCAAGAAGTATCATCTCGTTATTTTCACGTATCATAATCATAATACTTTGAAATATTTTCTTTCTTTGCAAACCTAATAAACTAGGTGTAGGCCGTGTTCGCATTGCAACAGTTGATTGTTGTATAGGGGATTTAGTTATGTCGCACTGCGTATTAGAAATTTGTCTCTTTTCTAATAATTTTTCTTTTGGTTCTTCTTTAAGTTCTTTTTTCATTCTCTCTTCTGTGATGAATTGCATTTCTTCTTCTGTACACCTTGATTCCGTTAATTCTACGCCGGTAAGTTGTTGTTTTCGAGGCTTTTTCCTAGGAGACATCTCGACTGTAGGATTTATTGTAATTCTAGATTGTTCTGGTTCTTCGTCAAGTCCTGGCGATGATGTTGCTGAAACTGTAGTAGATCCCGAACTTTGACAACCTCCACCATCTTGATCACCTCTTGGTGAACAAGGTGGACTCGTTGTAGTAACAGGTGGTAAAGATGCAAGTACAGGAACTAAATTTTTTGCTGCGCCTAATATTGTAAAAATTTCCATTAAAGAATCATTATTATCACATTCTACTGACATTTTAAACAATTGATCCAATTCTCTGTACCCTTAATAGGTGAATTATCATGATCCCTTTTTCGAAGTATGCTTGGTCTTGGAGACGCGTTCGTTTTGGTATGTGGTTCATCGTATCCAGGTTCAACGAGCAATCTGACTGGAGTTTGCCGATACTGAGTGTATGTTCCTGTATGATATCGGTAAATTTAGATTGCGTTAGAACCGAGGACATAAAAGATTTAAAAATATTACCTGTTGGTTCAAAGGAATAGTATGTAGCAGTATGTGGGGGATGCAAATACTGTCCTTGAACTGACTGTGCAGGAGTTGTATTTGAATTATTATTTGTATTACTAGCCGTAGAAACTCGAAATCCGGATTGCTGGGAAGATTTAATTTGAACAGTTTGTCCGATACTTTGTGTCTGGACTGTTTTAACAGGTGCTGATGTAACCCTTGCGGGTGCTAAAGGTAAAGGATGTAAAGACATTCCAGTAATTCTAGCAACCGTGGTTGATGTCGGTTGTGATATTCTTGTTGTACTTGATGTACTAGTTGTAGCAATTACACGTGATACTGTACTAAGACTCGATAAAGATGTTACTGTCTGAACAACGCGTGGTGCTGTTTGTGGCTGTGATTGCTGCTGCTGCTGCTGCTGTTGTTGTTGTTGTTGTGGTTGCTGTTGTTGCTGCTGTTGAACCTATTATGTATAACCAATTCTAGTTAATCTAGTACAAACCATTATCAAAATGTTTCTCATACAAGATACAACAAACATAATAATATTAAATACATATCGAAGTATTTTTATACCAACTTGTTGTGACGGGATGACAATTCGACTGACAGTACCGCTTGACGGAGTAGCAACTGTGTTAATTGATAACTGCCTTCCCACTGTTGGTTGAACAGTTACCGAAGCTGTGCCAGGTATTCTATTTGCAGTACCAACTACAGGTGCGGATACGGCTATGCGATTTACAATACCTGTAGTAGGTCTGTTTGATTGATTAGGCTATAAATTAAATATATAGTAACTTTAATTATTATACAAATAAGACTATATAGTTTTTATTAAACGAACTAGAAACGACAATTTACTTGAATAGTTTGAGTGGTAGGTCTACCAGGTTGTGTAGTTTGTGATATGCTTGCCACTTGAGGTGTAGTTGGTCTATTTTGTGATACTGGTAATCGTGTAATACTATTGTTTGCTTGAAGAACAGGTGCTATTAATCTGGACGGAGTACCAGGAACTCCAGTAACCATTGTGGCTTGTACCGATCTTCCTTGTCCTGTCGGTGTAATTAGACGGGGTTGTTGACTGGAATATACAGTAGACGGAGGTCTTGAAACGCGACTAACTGGAGGTGCAGGATGTCTTTGCGGTTGTGCATATACAACTGATGTCTTAGGTTGCCATTGAGGACTTGAAATAGTTGTACTTATTCTAGAAAAGTATTAAAAGTATGCATATTTTTATATTATACACGTACAAATTGTACTATATTTAGATATATTAAGTGAACATATTTACCCAGGTCTCGTGGTAGGTATTGTTTGTCCTGTATTCGCTCTAACAATAGGAGTAGCTACCGTTGACCTAGGAGCTGAAATATTAGCAACTGCTGCTGGTCCTCTAGGTACATGATACGTTGCTGGTATGCCTGTCACCTGCTGTGTCTGTTGTAACAATTGCTGAGCTTGTGGTGGATTCTGACGTTCCACTGTACTCAACATACCTGGAGATATTATTCTTACCGTAGATCCCACAGAACAAATCTGTAAAAGGATAAACAGATAAAGTTACAGCATTTTGTTATTGATAACAATGGTATATATCGATACTTGATATGAACAATATTGTAACCTTAATGTAAATAAAGCTTAGTTACACTGTTGCTAATATCAAGCATTGATATACAAATAAAAAATATTTTTCACCGTTGTGGTTATTTTATTAGTTTCTGAAGTTGACGTAGTACCAGAGGGAACTACAGGCTTCATTAAAGGCAATTTTGAATTTGTGTCCATTGACATTGATTTGCCTACAAGACTGGTAGATGTTCCAACTGATCCTACTATGGTTTGAGTCGATTGAATACTCTGAATATTACTTTGAACAACACTTTGTGCATTTTGCATGTTTTGCATAGTAGTCAAATTTTGCACTATACTTTGTACCGTTGTTTCTGACGTGTGTTTATCGCCTCCACTATCTATTGAACTTAATGTAGTATTCATGTTTATGTCTCTGAAAAAAATGCATTATTTCAATAAGATTTGTTAAATACAAATAATATACACTGTAACAATTTATGAATCTAATCATTAATGAAACTTATCTTACTTCTAACATACCATATTACAATTACCTTTAAATATTGAAAATTCATATAAATTAAATAATATTATTTATAAAGTGTAATTACTTTTTAGAATAAATTGTTCAGAATGTTTTACAGCGGAATAAAATTTAGAATTTGTTAACAAGTTCAACACTTACTTGGTTTTATAACAATTGTAGCATAAATATAATAGTAATAATAATAATAATTACTGTTTTATGACGATTGAAACATTAAAAAACAAGAAACAATATAGTCTATAACTTTTAAAATTGACAGTAATCAGCATTGTCCGTAAATATCGTACTAAATGTATGCATACCTTTAAAGAAATACGACACTGTAAAATCATTACCAATTTATTTAAAGATGCACATATGGTATTTTTTAAATATTTCTGTTTCATTGATGTTCCTTGAAAAAAAACATATTACAACTACAACAGCACCTTTTCTATTGCTACAGAAATTCGTAGCGCCCAACATAAGCACTGTACAGGGTAGGTAAATTGTTATCGTATGAATGTCCTATATTTACTGTATTTCATTTTCTAGGAACATTTCATTCAAATTTCAATAATATGTATTCCACGAGAGAATAGACTTCCTAGCCGACGAGTTTACGTTCCTTTTGCGCATGTTAACCAAGTTTTATTCTTATCACTTTGTAATCTATGGCGACGCGCATATGATCTTGGGACGATCGTGACGCTAAAAATATATACCTAGCGGCCTTCTTTTATTGTGTCATTCTCTCATGTCATTATTGGCTCTTGCTCTCCTTGTATTTTATCCCACTGCGTATATGATCTAGAAATTGGAAGCAAATTATAGAGAGACATTAGACTTACGATTGGAAATCTCCCTAGACTGTCAACCTGCGCGAATTAAGTTTACTCTCTTGTCGAGCAGCCTATACGAAAATTAGAATTTGATGGCAGTAACAGTTATTATAAAATTAAAAGAATTCTTAAATTCTTATACATATATAAATAAATAAATATTATTAGAGAGAGAGAGAGAGAGAGAGAGAGAGAGAGAGAGAGAGAGAGGGAGAGGGAGTGAAAGAGTGAGAGAGAATTTAAAATTTTATGTACGATTTTAGTGAATCGAAGATTTGTTCCCCTCTTGAGGGCCTTATTCTTATAGATAGTAAGAGGAGGGAGTTTCACCAATCCGGGACCCTTCATTCCTCTTCCCCTACTCGTAACTCCTTCAATTCCATTTTCAAACGCATCATTCCTGATTCCATCACATTCTGCCTTGTGATTCCATCGTTAGTTAAGTTCCTGTATTTCTTGTCTCGTCCACCTTTTATTGGGAAAGCTTTCATCTCTTTAGTAAAATTTGTATTTTACTAAATATAATATCACTAATCAAAGGATAAAGACTGGATTTGTTCGATGGCCCTGGATGGGTTTGAATTCAGTCCACGTTTTTTAATTTTATTCGTGACTAGATCCATACTCATCCAAGGAAATCGAACTTCAGAGTCAATCTTCAAGACTGAACCTGTTTGTTGTGCTTAAGGAAAAATGGTTAAAAATTTCAAGAAGAAACATCACGTTTTACTGTATATGCTATGCTAGAGTTAACAAGGTAAACAAAAAAAAAAAAAAAAAACAAAAAAATAGTTTAAAAAGATGTTAAGTCTTGTAGTTATAATATAAATAGCTGTCTTTTCGTATCGTTGTGTGCTACATATACATATATAGATCAAAGCGTTAATCAAACTTTAATGTACTATCGCTTTACATTAAAACAATTTGAAACATTCTGTTTGTGTTTTCATTGCTTTGAAGTTGTTTTTATATATACAAATTTTGTACAAAATTAGAAAATATACGAAAGATTGTCCAGTTCCAAGCGTGTTTGTTGCTAGGATTCTTTTCATTTTCTTTGTGTATGAACACCTGCCTCGTTTCCCCTCCAATTTCTCTTTCGCATAACCGGTAATAGAACACAATCCTTAACCTCTCTTTTAATCTTGTTTTTCTTAAATAACAGTAAAGACTCATTATCGACGTGAGAACTTAGAAATAAACCTAATTTACTCTGATATTACATGAACAATTTTATGATTTATTTGAGACTATGTGTTAGAATATATATAGTTACCTTTACATAAAACAAAAATCATTCAAAATATTTTTCAAATTTATCGAGTAAATTATAGATTTTTAATCAATATAATTATAAATAATATATATGTATATACGTATCTTATTTATATTCATATTTATATCATTATATTCTTACAAAAATTAGCATAAAGAAACTTAACAATAATACCATGTAAATAGTTTTCAAGATCGTCATAAAATTTCATAAACATGAATTTTTTTCTATATACGTCATTTTTAAGTTATTATTAGAAGCAGATTTATCATATAAAATAATCAAGTATTTTGGGATTCCAAGCTTAATTGTGCTAGACAAGTATGTTCATCTTGTATTTCTTCTTCGTAACATGTATTGGGATTGGAACGCATTTCTTCTATTGCTCGTCTAATTTGAATTTGCAATTGGTTAGCAACCTTTCGTACTGCCATATAATTATGTTTAATTTGTTTTATGCATGACAATAAACCCTTCCATGGAGCAATGCTAGTATGAGCAAGATACAGTTCTTTCCACAACTGAATACTAACAGGTGCAACACTTGGCCAAATAACTCCTGAATTTGGTTCATACAGAGGATTTAACCATTTTTCCAATATTTCTGGCTGATTTAGATACGACCACAAACTACACGTTCGTTCTGATAATCTAAGATTAACTCTTTCTGCTTCTGAATCCCCTGAAATTAATGTTCATTAATATTTTAATAACTAAGAAAAAATTATCTATTAATCGCAAAAAGTTATTATTATTATTATTATTATTATTATTATTATTATTATTATACGTGTACCTAAGAAAGTTCCATAGTTAGAGCAGTATGCATGATTGTACAGTTCAATCAATAAATCTACTGTATACTCGAAGCTAAATTGGAATTGATAATGGAGCTGATAAAGGCAATCGAGAAAAAGGAGAAAAGTCGGAGCATGTGTGGAATTTTGCGAATTCGATGAATGATATGGTCCGTGACGTGTGCGAGTGAAAAATTGATGGCCTGCTTGTATCCATTCACGTTCGATCAAAGCCTGAAGGCCACGTACTGTTCTACAATCTGGACTTAATATCGCTTGTGCCAAACTTGTTACCACCAAAGTAGAATCTCTACCAGCACTTCCTACCAAAAATATAATAATAATTATTATTATTATTTGTTAATTTTGTATATTAATGGACTATTCTTGTTCAATTGTTTTGTAGATTATATACCATGAACTAATACAGCTGCAACTTCTTGATGAAGACACTGTGCAGTTACACAAGCAGCATTTAAGGCATTTTGTACAGCAACTAGCCATCCAGAATTATCAAGTCTCGAAATCCATTGTGAGGTAGAACACGTAATATCGTTGCAGGCCTCTATCAATTTAAAAAAACTATCTGCTAAATCGTGTGGTCGTGGAATCGCTTTGTGTACTTTTCGCCATTGCGGGTAAGCCGCGTCCATTTCTGTACCACCTCCTTTGGCTCTAGAATTTTGAGCTTGACTGACAGACCTTGTATCTATTATATAACTGTTAAAATAAGGCTTTTATTAGTGACATCAATTAAATTAAAATTACTAATATTGATTAAATTAAACATATCTGTAATGTTTTGAAACAGTTAAAACAATTCTTAAAATTATTTACCCACGTCTTCCTGGACCTAACACTGCATTTAATAACCTTTCGTCTTCTTTACACCTTTTACCACTAGTACCACACATTGGCTGACTGCTTCTTAATAAAATACTCTGCAATATTTATTAACATTTTGAATAAATATCAATTATGTATGTAGATAATCTGTTGCCTTGCTATTTCATACCCCTCCTTCGTGTCTATAGCATAAAACAGGAAATCTTCCTCCATCTCTAAAATTAGCAGAGGATATTATAATTTTATCTTCAACATGACGCGGTACTATAACAGCAGATGGATAAGAATTGCAAACTTTGTAATCTTTATTTAAGTAACTGATGCGCCATTCATCTCCATGTGCAGTTAGTAGTCTAGACCATTCTGATACAGGAGCAAATGCGGTCCAACCATCTTCTATTTGTATCATAGTATTATTAACTGTTTGTGGTCTATTGAAAAAAGGATACTGTAAAGTTTGCTCTGTGATTTAAAAAAAGAGTTAGAAATTAATAGAAAGAATACATAAATATGACGCGTGTATAAAGTAAAATTACTTATTATACCTTGAGATGTCAATTTTTCTATGGATAATACAACGTTCATTAAATCGTCCATTGAATTAATATCCAATTGAAGGATACGAAAATCTTTACATTTTAGTATAATGCTACCACCAGGGCTTTGGGTATTTAATTTTTTCTCTATAAGATCAATGTTTCGATACAACAGCTAAAAAATATGAGAATAACATAATTTATTTAGAGAATGTATCGTCTCAAACTATAGTATTTAATCTGTTGAGAACCATCAATTTTTTGGGCTCCTTATTATAAATAAACTTCTATCCCAGCCCATCATTTGCATTATATTCTTTCGAGTGGTCTGTATCAAATACATATACTTCATATGTTTTCTGAAACTTTCATTCTTCAAAAGAGGTTGCGGGTAATTGAACACCCAAATAGTCCTCAACAGGTTAATATTAAAATAATATTTTCCTTGTCTTTCAACCATACCCAAAGTTCTTGATCACTGTCTTGCCGTGAAGACCAAAGAAGATGGTGACTACTAATGCATAAAGTTCCATCTATGCTTTTATTATTTCCATCGCTTTTGTCTATTAATGCAACATTGTCAAGATTTGGAATTAATATTAAATCACCAAGTTCCATTATATGCTTTGATTAATAGCTTCAACTATTAATTCGCAATATTCACAAAACGTAATTTATCTTGACAGTTCAGCATAACCTAATGTTATACGTAAAACTTGTTGATAACTTTTCATTTGTTAAAATCGTGAAAATATAATTAGATAGGTAAACAGATATTCCAATTATTTTATAAAATAACGTTCTTAAACTAAATTTCTTTTATCAAGATATTTTAAATATAAGTGGAAAAATATATTATTGTATTTCTGTTTACTGTTCTTTCGTTCCATGCTACATACAAGCAGTAACTAAATACGGATTACAGTTACTCATATCAGTAAACTTCCCTATATATTTCGGTTCATAAAATCATATGTATGTACACACTTAACTGTATCTTAGGGAACATAGTATCTAATGAGAATAGGTCCTAACCATTCGTGATACTACCCACGCATTTGCACAAAGCGTTTTCGAAATCGCTAAATAATACATTTTTCGAAAGTACACGCATTCTGGGTCATATGATTGTCTAATAAGTTGAAAAAATCAATATTTAATACATTCAATTGAAAATAACAGACTACTGAAAATCGAGCCACTAGCGCCATCTAGCGGACGGGTATCAGGAGTTACTCCTTGTATCAAGAGCGCATAAAAGTAAAGGAGGTGTGCAGAGTAAAATGTATACCGCGTAAACGGCGTGCATGCACAATAGAAATATACGATAACTCCTAATAGATGATTTATATTTATATTAGGTCTGTTTGATTAATCTAACCAAACGATGTTGAGCGAGCGAGTAAATTTCACGCTAAAGCAAAAATAGTCAACCGTGTCATCCGGTTTAATAGGTTGAGTGGTGTAAGAGAAAAACGTGGACAAAAAAGTTGAAAAGTCAAAAAGTCGGTGATTATTCCACCGTGGCATGCGCGGGCGACGCGCAGGAGGAATATACACGATAACGAGTACGCAAAATCGTTAATTACTTACTTTCTAAGCACAGTCTATGAATTTTTATGATTAAAGAATGTTCAGTGATTCCCTAGCTACTTTCTCATATCACATATGTTCACATTTTTATTGTAAATAATTAGTTATTAATTAATGTCCAACACGAAGTCGGCGGAATACATCGTACGCACGAGCTAATTTGAAATAATTAATAACACATTTTCTAAACACAATTTATGCACTTTTATTACAAAAGAATGTTCAGTGATCCCTCAGCTACTTTCTCGTATCATATTTGTTCAGATTTTTAATGAAATTAATTAGTTATTAACTAATAACCTAAGGCCAGCCACGGTGACAAGCGGAATACACGAGGTCATTTTGAATAATTAATTACACGTTTTGTGGATATATTTTGTGCACATTTATGACTGAAGAATGGTCAGCAATGCATTATTTACATGGTTCGATCATAAAAGTTCATAAATAATGTTCGGGTAACGAGTAATTAATTACTTTCTGTCAGCATTCCGACACGTACATGAGCCACCTGTGTCAATTCTACTCTGCATGCAAAGTGCAATATTTCGGCACCTTGGCGACGTAGTATGGTTCCTGAGGCATTTAGAAACAAATTTCTATTAGGGTTTGATGCGTTTTGATGCCTAATAAAGCCAGAAAATCAATTTTTGTCGAATTCG